GCCGTTGTCAATTTTACTGATAAATATGATACAATACGTTTTGTTATTGCATGTCTTACACTTTGTTCTGAGTATATTGAATCGCAAGCTTGCATATTTTCATATCATATCATATGGTAATTGTCAACTCTTTGTTTAGCATAGTTTTATTTGCTAGTGGTGCAGTAATATTTCCTTGAAATTCTGCTATTTGAGGTGATCGTTCCTGGCAGGAGAAAGAAATTAAGAACCAGCTCCCAGAAGCCAAATATTACTGGTAATGTAGTGGAAGATGCTGCTGAAGCAGATGAAGATACCCATTTAGGAAAGAGCCTAGAGTCTTCAAAGAAAAGATGCAGTTCCAAGAAAAGATCAAAAAAGAAGCAGAAGCCATCCACTGCCAATGGAAGTATTGCATCTCAGCTGGAGGATAAAGTTGAGCAATTGACTAGCTCTAACCAAAAAAGGAAGAGGTTAGTTCCGTTTGTAATTCATAATTCTTTGATTATGTATCAAAATTTTCAATTGGATTAGTGGAAATAGCAAATTTGGTTTAGCTTCTAATCATCATTTGCTTATAAAAGGAATCATGCAACAATCACTTACGAAGAACAACAGTTAATGTTTATATTACAGTCTAGAGATGTGTCGATTGTTGGTTAAAGTGGGGTGTAAGCCTTATTTGTTAGTTACAAATGTTACTGTCAGAATATTTGCTTATTAGTAGGTAGCACCGTTGTATTTTGTTTGAACTATATGATGTGTTAGTAAATGGTGAAAATCAATGTGTTAGTAAATAGCTGCTACATCCATTTTTTCATTATTTCTGATATTTTACAGGACCAATTCTGTCCTAAAGCGTTACGGAAGGAAATTTAGACCAAATCATCGTTGAAAATTCAACCACCCGCCCAACTTTTTAAGACTAGACAGAAGGACCATACAGTTGCTCGTATTTAAATTTAGCTTTCAACAGGGTTTATGATTTTGTTGTCAGAAAATTTTGCCAGTTACTTCCTTTAACCACTGGTACATGAAGGCAAGGTTTTAGGGGTACCAGGTTTTTCCATATTGGTCATTGATACTGGATGACATATTGAGCATATAATGTCAATATTGGATGTTTATATCAGCCACTACATGTTTCATCTGTACATATACATATATATGTATATATGTCTGTGTACATATACATATACATAGATATAGATGTGTGTGTGTGTGAAATATGGAGAACCTTGGTACCAAGTTTCTTCATTGTATATATATATATATATATATATATATATATATATATATAGAGAGAGAGAGAGAGAGAGAGAGAGAGAGAGAGAGAGAGATTAATGGGTGTCCTATGTCAAGGAGGAGATTTCCTCCTTAAAAATGATGTGGCACAATCCCCACCATGTGAATAAAGTAGGAGAGAGAATATCACATGGTGGGGATTGTGCCGCATTATTTTCAAGGAGGAAATCCCCTCCTATGACAAGGATACCCATTATTCTCATATATATATGAGAAATATGGAGAACCTTGGTACCAAGTTTCTTCATTGAACTTGATAGTGATGTGGCCAGATCTGACCCCTCCATCACGTCTCGAAGATAGAGCATCAATCACTATTCGCCTACTCCAAAAAAGAGACTCCATCTTCGAGGCGTGATGTAGGGGGCATATTTTGCCACCTCACTACCAAGTTCAATGAAAGAACTTCGGACACGGATCCGACACGGCCATCCGACACGCCGACACGAGGTAAATCCTAAAAAATACATAGGATACGTGTCCGACACGGACACGACACGACACGGCTTCATGTTATGCGTGTCCGTGCTTCATAGTACCAAGGTTCTCTATATTTCTTTCTCTCTCTCTATATATATATACATCTATATATCTATGTATGTATATGTATGTATATATACATATCTATATACATATATATACATCTATATACATGTATATATACGTATACATGTATATATACACAATATATCTATGTGTATATGTATGTATATATACATATCTATATACATATATATACATCTATATACATGTATATATACGTATACATGTATATATACACA